AAACATTTTTTGCCATCTTTGGGGGGCCTAGCCGCGAGCCCGAGATCTGGATGGCACAATCCGATTTTGGGTTTGCAGCGAATCGGCAAAAAGAACTCTGGCCCGCCACGGAGTCAACTTTTGGGGCCAAAACTTCTAAGAGGCTTGCGCAAGGTCGACCGATTGCATCGCTGCACTGCCAAGGCAGACGCCAGCCAAAGGCGATTTGGGGGGCACGAGGGGAATGCCGAGTTGCTTGGATCATGACGTAAGTCTAAGTGCTGTTAACCTTCTTGCTGAAAAGGGTACCTTCATCCAAAAGAAGTCTCCTGTAGTCTGGGCATGATTGGGTTTCTTCTGTTTATGCTCAGGGCATCCAAAACTAGGCGAATCCAAGCATAGATGCCTCTGATGCTCTCTGAAACATAAGCAGAGGAAACTGAGGTTGGTGGCCTCGCCGCTCGCCCCTCGTTTTGAACTTTTCTCCTTTTTTGCAATAATCCGTTTGGTGTCCCTTTCGATTGGCCCATGCCGCAAGCTGGTTGCATGCATTTGTGTGGCAGACGAAGGTCATTTGTGTGACTTTCCGCACAAACGGGAAGTGGCAAATGTCCCATGGGGCAGGTGTCAGAAGGAAGGGTTTTTGGATGGCATCGGCACCCCAAAAAGCGAGAGAACACATAAGCAGACATCCACTGGTTGCGGCCAGGATGACCACCGATGCCCACAAATACCAAATACTCTGCTCCATCGGGAACCAGAACCCCTTGAAATGTAGCTTCCAATAGGGACATGCGGATTGCTGCCCAAAACGCTGGGCGTGTCGGAAAACCTCGACTTGGTTCCGCCAACATTCAGGGATTCGGGACTCAAGAGAAGCTCTTTGTCAAGCAAGGGGAGGTTGATTTGGCCGGGAGTCTTTTGCGAGCAACCTTTCCATAGAACCCTGCCCCCCCCCCCTGGAAGGAAGAAGTCCAACCAAAGCAGGGAAGCCCCTACGTGACTCTGCGGGTTCCCAGAAAGTCATACCTGAAATAAGCGAGAAGTTGTGCTTCGCTGTCTTCTGAAGGTAAGCTTGGCAATACTGATGGACCCTGTGGATTGTGGTGATCAGGGGTCAAAGGGGTTTGGAAAGAGTTCCTAGCGTTGGAAGTAAAAATTGAACTCTACACGTGCTCTGAAAAGTTGTTTTCTTTCGAGACGGAGCTGCCAAAAGTACTTTGCATACTTCACTTTTACTGAATAATGAAGAGTTTCGACTTTCTAGCCGGAGCTGCCAAATTGTAGTGACATTTGCATGCTTCACTTGTATACTGAGTCAGTTGCGGCTTTCGAGCCGGAGCCTTTTGCAGCCAAAGCCGCCAAAAGTGTGTGACATTTGGAGCTAGAAGGAGACCAGGCGATACCGGGTCGTAAGGTTGGGGTTGGCCACGGGTCTTCTGCGAACCCAGAGGACTTTCTCTGGTTTCAGTTTTGTTTGAATTTGGGCTTGCCCTTTTCGTTGGGACGTGGTTTTCACGGACACCCAAAGGGAGAATCAACAACTCGTGGGTCCAAATACAGATACGCCGAAAAACAGAGTTCTTTAAGGGATCCCACGCTCCCTACGGTGTGTTTTTCGACAACGTCCCCATCCGGGCTCGATCTCTTTCTCAGGTGGTCACCAGGCGCGCGTTTCCACGGGCTCACGGGACATGGGAAGGTCAATTGAATCAAAACCCGGGTGTAGATGAAGGTTAGTAGTAAGGGGCAGCCCCAGCCGGAAATCGTTGCGGCCGCCTTTTTTTCTCATGCAATGATTGAGGTAGACCATGGTAGACCATTTTGATACCAGGTTTTGATGGCTCATTTGAGGGTTCCCCCAAATACTCCGGGACATGTGTTCGGGTGGAATAGGGCTACCGACCCTTGAAAGCGAAGCGTCCAGATATTTTTTTCACTTTTGCACCTTTTAGTTTTGGAGATAGCTCATTTTGGCTGGGTCAAAATAGGGTAAACTCAAAACGGCTTGCCCTAAATGGAACCAATGACTAAAGCAAGCAGGGTCTCCTAGGGGTTTAAGTCTGGCTCATTGGGCACGTGTCAAAAGGGAACTGCAAAACGGTGGTGTTCCACTCGTTTCAGTTCGCAAGGTGAAAAGGGTGCTCTTTAAGGGAAACCTCAAGGAGTTGATGTTTTGGCAGCGGCTCCAACATGTTCGAGCTGGCGGTGTGTCAAGAAAAACTAGGATCCTCTTTCGGAGGAAGAGCGCCGACGTGAAACCGAAAAGTCCATCGGAATCCCAAGTCTCTGGTAAAATGGCACCAGAACGCTGTGTGCCTCAGAGCCCACGTGATACTTGGCTGACCTAGGAACCTAAGAGGAAGCCCATGCTTCTTTGAAGCTTCGGACGGCTAGCAACGATCTCGTTAGTAACGATCGCATCCGTTCCCTGGAGCCATGTTGTGCCAGAGGCAGTTTGCTCTTTATGGCCGGCGCGGGTGGCTGGGCGCGGATAGTCAGCAAGTCAGTGGTTCAATGAGTTGGCTTGCTTGGACAGTTCCGGAAAAAAAAAAACACATCGCCACGATATCCCATGTTGCATTCAAGTGCTGCGGTGTCTTCCTGCTTCGGATGGGGTAGATCCAATATTGCTGGTCTTTGTTTGGGCCCAGGTCCTCCAAACAAAATGCTTAAACGTCTAAACGGTTGTTTTCTTGTGTTTGATAAGTGGCTGAACCAACGTTGGCGATTGATCTTCACACGAACACTTGGGATTTGAACATCCAGTGGGTTCCTTGTAAAATGGCAGGAACCTTCGAGCCGTTTGAGTTCTGGTCACATGATGCGCGCTGCTGGACGTTGGCTCAAACTGCGCCCCATCCGGCCAGTGGATCGGAGGCGGGCGACTGGGAGCCTCACAGGTCCCTCCGTGGCCCCATTTTTTGACCCGAGCGAATCTGGCGACCCCCAGCCTATGTTAGGGCAAACAGGGCGTCCACCACCCTGGAAATGGTCAGGGTATGTAGACACAAGTGGGTAGATGTAGATGTATTTATATATAATATGTGCATGGCTATCATATAGGCCTAAAGCGCAGCGCAATCAAATTTGTGGCCTAGACATGGAAGTCCTTTTGAGGAAATGGCAACCTTCCTGCCGGACTTGAGAGAGTCGCGGACCCTTGGCTCTGCCTCAGGTCCTTCGGGCACGCGCAGGCGCGGGAGTGTCCCAACTCCGCGCGCGGTGTGAGACGTTTGCTCGCCAGCTTTGAATTTGGTGGTTGGCCAGTATAAGACCTGGCCGGGCTATCATGCAGATGCACACGTCCCATGGAGACCACAACAAGTCCGGCGGAGTTTTTATGGCTATTTGGGCACGGATCTTTGGACTTTAGTGAAGCTAGTTATTTGGTTGTTCTTTGCCAATAGCTGAAATGAAGGTTTTAGCCTTGGGCACACTACAATGTTTCTCTACTCGCCAGCAACAAGCCGCGTAGCAACCAATTTAGCAGAATCCCGCGTCGGCCTTTTCGGCTTTCACCCCCCTGCCGCAACCTTGGGGCTTTTTTTGTTGGGAACGCGTGACCGTTTGAGCAGAGTCCAGAGCCCTTGTTGACCAATGAGCTTCCACTCCAAGAGGAAGAGATAAAATTTAAATTTTCGCTCCCCTTCCAAAGTCAACCAAGTATCATCATTGGTAGAACACCCCTTATTTTGTCAGTTCGCCCAACACCCACCAGGGTTAGGCAAACACTTTGTTTCAGAACGGTTGAAGCACTATTGTTGAAACATCCTTCTGCTGTTTTTCCTTTGCGCTTATGTTTTGCGGCAGACACCCCCACATTTCCAAGATGGGCTTTGTGTGGAAGCCTTCTCTGGTTCGACATGTGGCTGTGGGTCAAAACCAATGGGATTCCATTTTGGTTGGGTTGGTGAATTCACCACCCGTTTTAGTACCTATTTTAGTGGTTAGATTGGGATGTTCACTGGGGGTACGCTTTGGCTTTTGACCCACAGCCATGTTGTGCCAAACCCTTCCCCTCTCTCGCCAGTTGCCAAAGCTGCTCGCGTGGCCTGAGCTGAGGGGCCCAAAGCTGACCGCGCAGCCCTCGGCATGGTGGAACCAGAGACAGGGAGGAAGGGCACCGGTTGGGAGTTTTGACAGCCAAATCTGTTTGCTTATTTGTGTGCTTTATTGCTTTGTTGATTGTTTGCTGATCTGTTTACTTGCTTTTTGCTTGTCGTCTTGCTCCTTTGTTTGCTTGCTTGCTTGCTTGCTTGCTTGCTTGCTTGCCTGTTTGCCTGCTTGCCTGCTTGCCTGCTTGCCTGCCTGCTTGCCTGCTTGCCTGCTTGCCTGCTTGTTTGTTTGTGTTTTCTTGTTCTTTTGCTTGTTTGTTTGTTTGTTTGTTTTTCTTTGCTTCTTTGTTTACTTGCTTGCTTGCTTGCTTGCTTGCTTGCTTGCTTGCTCGCTTCCTTTCTCGCCTGGGTTGAACAAATAAGGACTTGTAGAGAGAGAGGACAAAGGGATCCACCCACAGTTGGACAGGTGAGTTGCATCTAGGCCAGAGAAGTGACCCAAGGGCCTTGGCCCACCCAAGCCCTAGGCTTCGCGACGCGAAGGATGCAAAACTTGGGGACAGTCAGATGCACCCTAACTAGTTTGTGGTTTGGATGTGGTTTGGATTTGGATTTGAACCCTGGGTCTTGTGGAGGGTAAACGGGGTTTCCACCACCAAACCCCAAGGGGAAGCTGATATGAGGTTTTGGACACGGACACTGGTGTCCCGTCCAATAGACTACAGTGTCATCCTCCAAATGGGCCACGCCCCCAATGGGGGTGTAGAATGCCCCCAAAATCTGTCCATTTTCCAAGGCTCTGTGGGGGGAATGTGGTGTTTGTGTTTTGTGCCCCTTATCTTGGTGGTTCCCAGCCATCCCCAGAAAGGTGTTTAGCGGTGCGTCCATTTCGTCCACAAGTTAGTCACTTTTCGCGGGGGTTCTGCGAGCCCAGTGACCAGCGAGTCTTGAGGTGTTTCACCGATGACGTGTACGACTCCCTGGTACCGCGACGATGAGCGGCGCCTTGCCCAGAGCTTCCGTGAGTCGGTGTCCTCTTTCGGGTGTGTGCTAACACTGGCGCTTCGGTGTTCCTTTTGGTTTCCCTTTAAAGCCACGTAGGAAGCGCGGGATCCCTTTAAAGCCCTAAATAGGTGCCTGGACCTCTGTTTTTAGGAGTTTTAGGAGTTTCAGGTTTTTGCGGCAAAAAGTGCTACGATTTCCCGAATTTCCAGTCAAAGGCGGAAACTACGGTTGTTTTTCAGGAGGACGAAGGTCCAGGTGTGTCTTTTCTAGGGGACCCGCAAACGGGTGTTTTCCCTGGTGGCTTCCCTTTGAAACCTCAACGAAAGAGGTACCAACTCCCAAAGAAGACACCCAGTTTTTCCCTTCAGCCAAAGGCTTCCAAATCATTCGCGGAGGGGGAGATTTTCCGGCCCCCTTGGACCTTTTTCTCACTGCTCCTATGCAACCGCACCCCTTCACCCCAAAAAATCACACACACACAAACCCTCCCAACCCCGAACCTTAATTCTCCTAACCATGAAACCCCAATACTCCTAACCCCGAAATGCAATCTTAGTCTTTTCCAAGCGCTGTGGGCCAGAGGCTGGTTGAATCGGTTTTTTGGATCCGCGAGGAGGTTCCTCCAGCGAACCGATAGCATGTACCTGGACGTGGTCCGGCCAAAGGACGTGCCCCAGGGCAAGGCGCGTGCGTCCCGAGGGCAGTTGGGTAGGTGTCATGCCAGGTCGGAGGCTGTTTTGAGGGCAGATTTGGAGGGCAGATATTGATGCATGATGCATACACGTTTGGGTGCGGCCCAAATTTATAGGGCTAGGGTTACGCAGGTTTTAGTCGTTGGCTCCATTTGCCAAGCGTGCCATTTTGGTACATGTTTTTGAGCCACAGCCATTTTAGTTGGTGCTCCCAGACATCTACAAAAACTTGCTGGGAAGTCTGCGATTCAAGCTCGGGCCGCCCGACTTCGCCACCTGTTTTTGCGGAAACCCACTAAACAGGCCTCTCGAGAAACTGAGGGCTTAGCATGAGCGTTGCTTTGACCACTCCCCTGGTTCTCTGAGAAAAATGTTTGCCCGGGTGCGAAGCCCCGGGTTCCGTGTCTGGATTGGGGTCATGGCTCAACAAGTTTGGACATGGCATGGAAGGGCCAGCTAGTTTGTGATCGAGAGACACCAAGCAGGACCTCCAGGCAAAAAGAAGGAGCAAAGCGGAATGCCTCTCTTTCTCTCTCTCTCTCTCTCTCTCTCTCTCTCTCTCGCGGGCAGTGCCTAGACTCGTTCCATGAGCTGTCTGAAGCCATCTGTGAAAGTCCCGAACTTTCAACGAATCCTCTGACAAGGGACCCACCCGTTTAACGTGGGGTTGAGCCAAAAACACCTCTGGATCTGCGCTCTGAATGTCTCCATGGTGGTTTTGGGGTTTGTTTCTTGGGCCATTTGCTCCAGGCGTGTTTTTTTGTCCAAGAAACGGGGTGACTGGTAGTTGCTTCTTCTTGACGTCGCCTCCACTTGGCGTTCGCCATGGGATTCCAACGAGCCGTTGGGCTTGCCGTGGGGGGATTCATTTTCAGCTGTTGCTTGAATGGCGTTGCACTTGGGTTGGGGGTAGGTGGTTGCTGCGTCTTGCTAGGATTTGCAGGCTAGTTGTCATGTCAAGTCACCTGCCATCGGCATGTTGCCTGTAAGAAAGGACCAGCTGTTGACCTTTGTCAAGTGGATTTTGAGACCCTCACTTTGCAAACGACGGTTGCCCCAAGGAAGTCACGCCGGTGATCAGGCACTCAAGCGCTTTGCTTGCTTCCCTGTGAATCATGGACACGTTAGATATGGGTATGTCTATTTTGGGGAGAACCCCCTTTGAGGCTTTTTAAAGGGAAGCCAAAGGAAAATCACCATTTTGTGTCCAACCTTGAAAATGACAAACCCATATGCGGTATAACACGTATATCCGTCTTGCTCTTGGGCTCGGATCTGGGATTCCGGGATCGGATCGCGGAAGCCGCCGAAATCGCCCGGTCAGGTCATGTATCCCAAGGATTACGACAAGTCCCTCATGACGGAGGCGCGAAAAAAAGATAGGAATCGGACTCCAAATGGTTGTCCAACAAATCAGAATCGACTTCATGAAGGACGAGTAACCTCCAAAGCGTCCGAACCTCAAACCTTCAAAGCCTCAAAAGTAGTGCAATCGGGTAGAGACATGCCGAAAGACAGGAACCTTCTTTGGTCCTATTCTGGCACGGACAGTGCCGGCCTCGCCACACGCCGCGCTGGACTTGAAAGCAAATCAGCAAGATTATTTTGAGCATCAGCTTTTCCACCACAGAGAACACCAGCATGTTGGGGATAATGTTGAGGTAGGTAGATAAGAGCTTCTGAATAAAAAGAAGCAGGACATGCCGCCACTCAGCAGCTTGAGCTTGTCCGGAGGACGCCGATCAGAGGAATCCCCCTGACATGTACAAGTTCCCATCTCATGCCTGAGTTTCTGGGCTTGAGTCGCACAAGCAGTTTGGGGACTTTTTCCGGCCACTTCACGGAAGTGCGCCATGGGGAACCACTCGTGACTGAGCTCCAGAGGAGTCAGTCCGTTCTCGGGCGGCTTCGCTTCGCTACGCAGGACATCCCCAGGTGCCAACCCACCTTCGACCACCTCAAGTACTTAGACAAGCCGGACATGAGTGCTGGGGGCCCGAGGAAGGTGTGTCAAAAGTTTTGCGATTGGTTGATGGCTGTGAAATCATGGGGCTCCTCTTAAAAGGGATAACATCCCAGACCTGTGACTGCAGTGGTGCCCTTGATTCTTTGCGTGTCTTAAGGGGCTTGCCTTTTCAAATCAACCACCAGAAAACAGGTGCTCGTTTTTTTTCCATGGCCACTGGGGATCTGGGACATAGTCCTATTGCCCACGACGGAATCGATTTCGGGGGCCTTTTGATTGCGCGGCTTGCACCGGCAGTTTCTCCCGTGGCCAATACAGAGGTCCTTGGCTCGATCACTCCCTGAGTTCCGTTTCGGACTTTCGTCACTTTTTGGGCTTGGGCCATGTTAGTGGCATTGAGCTTTGCTTTGGCCCGGAAGTGAGAGACATGGAATCTGCGGACAGCCACCGGGGCCTTTTGCTTGCTACCTGCAAACACAGCAACGGTACCTGTAGACAGCCTCCTAAAGTCTCTTTATGTTCAATCAATAAAAACCTGATTACACGGCAAACCTGTCCCGAGAGCACTTCCTTGGAGCACTTCCGGTTCCTTCAATCAGCTTGGCAAGTTCCTGAAAATGGTGACAGGTCACCTGGACTTTGGCAGCTGATTTCAGTCAACAACAAGCTTTTGGGCCCTTTCAAAGGCTCCCACCGGAAAGCGTTTGTTCAGGCTATGGAAGACGTCCAAAGCTTGTCTTGATTGAATAGGGCAGGTATTTGTTCAAGGTCTTGGTAGGTGTCTTTGAAATTCTGATTCCGAAGTTGTGAATGGTGCTTTGCTCAGTGATCTGGTGAATCTTGTTGAGTTCCGACCCACTTAAAGGGGGGTGGTCCGCACAATTTGTCACTCCTGTCGGGTCCCAGGCTTCACTCGAGGCAGCCATCAGACACCCTGCTTGCTATGGGTCTTCGAAAGATGCAAGGGTCTTTCCGAAAGTTGGCTTCCCTGAGGCAATGCAAGGGCATAGGAAAGCAGCTCATCTCAGCCATAAACCTCCGCATCGCATTGGGTAGCACTCACCGAATCCGCATGTCAGAAACTCTCTCTCACCAAATCCCTTCAGTCTCTCATGTCACGCCGCAACAAGAGTTGGGACGCGAATCACCAAAGTTCGGGGAGGGAGAACAGGAATCCAGCCATCAGCCACTAGCCGGCCGCCAGCGGTTTGCCTAAAGTTAACAGGCACAAAACCACCGCGAGATGGCCACAGAGCTAAACACCCTTTGACCAAGATTTTGTGACGACCCCTATCCTGAAAGAAGACAAACACAATTCTATGTAACTTGGTGGCTAGCCATCTCGTTCCTTCCGTTCCTTAGTTTTTGTTCTTATTTTTTCCCCCGGTGTTTAGGTTTTAGGTTTTTAGTTGGTTTAGTGGTTGGGTGTCCATGTCACCCGCAAGCTCAAACCACACCGGATCTGAAAACGGAGAGCCCAGTGGATCAGCCGAGGTGGGCTGCACTGATCCGGTGCACCCGGGGGGCAAGGCACGGTCCTACTACGCCCGGGGCCAAAAAAAATGCGAGTGGTGCCTGGCGTTTTTTTGTTTTGTTTTTTGGAAGCATCAATTTGGAATCTTCTTTACCGTTGTTTGCATTTTGTTTGTTTTTTGGTTCTGTTGTTTTTTCTTTGGGGGGGGGGCTGCAAACAACGAAGCTTGTTGCTACCAAGGGTTGCAAAGATTTAATTACAACTCAGTTTCCGGTGTGTGACTTGGAGCTAGTGGTTTTCACGCAAGCAATTCGCCGGTTTGGGGCAAGGTTGGGCAGCCTCTTTGAAGCAAACCAACCCTGGCTTTCCAAAACTCGGGGGTTCCTGGATGCTCTTTGAACAACTCATTTCGGCACGTGAAAAAAGTCGGGGTGTTCAAAAAACAGTTGGACCCATTTGAGCTCTGTTTCGATTGCCAGGATTCAGATTGTGCAGCAAATCAAAGATCGAGGGCAAAACATGTAACCCTAGAGCATATGACCACAGAAAATGTAACCCTAGAGCATTGACACGGTATCAAATGGCCATGGCTCAGTGCCGCTAGTTTGAAAGAGGGCAAAAGTGACACAATGTTTTCAAGATATGAAAACGGTGCTGCAATTCTCACCGTTGGCAAGATTTTAGGTGTTTAGGTTGTTTGGTTCTGTCCATTTTTAGGGGGCTGCAAAACACCGTCGGTTTTTGCTACCGTACACAGGTCAGGTAACCCTTAGTTGGTGGAGTGGTGGCTTGGGATCTGAACCCATTCGTGCAGGTAGATGGGGTTCCCCCCCCCCTGTAACCAAACCACCGCGCTCCAAACCACCAATTGGAAGGAAGCTAGTGGTGCTAGTGGTTGGTGGTTCTTGAGGCTCAATGGCTCAATGGGGTTTACCGGTTTTTTGGTCGCATACGGGTAAACCACGGTGCTCCCAACCAATTGGAAGGAAGCAATTCCAAGGCGCCAATGGACCGGCGCCCTCGGGACCTGAGCCTCACCACGGCGCGAGCAGTTGCTTGCTGGGGTTGGACTTGTTGCGGTGGGTTTTGCCGAGGGATGTTAGGGCTTTAACTTTTTGCCAACCAATGGGTTTTTCACTAAACCACTTTTAGCAGGGGAGCAGAAAGCAACCAAGTGTTGCTATTTTTGGGGCTTGGGTACCAAGGTGGGTCGCGGGTTTATGTTCACCAGCCCGGTGGTACCTTGTTTTCCCAATGGTAACCCACCCAGTTGCACAAACAGGCCCAAGGCATGTCTACGAAGCTTCAACGGAAGCATGCCCCCTACAAGCCCATTTTTCAGCTCTCAAGCGTTTCAATGGCACGCCCGGAGGTGGGTGACGATATTTGGGGGCGTCTAACAATGAGGGCTGGTTATCTGGGAAACTCCGAAACTTGCAACACCTTCTTGCATGACTCTCGCCAAACGGGGGAGCTCATGTAGAGGCAAACTCCGAACAGGAGCTTATTTAAAGAATCCAAAACACGGCCGCGAGAGCCACACGCAACCGACGCGAAGCCTGGGGGTTTCAAGCGGCCGACTTGAAGGACGGGGGACATTGGCACGGGGCCTGTAGCTGACTTTTTGGCTGCGGGTCAAAATTAAGCCTCCAGGGGACCGCAGGTTTTAGTCATTGGTTCCTTTTACCAGGGCAACCCATTTTAAACCCTAAACCCTAAACCCTAAACCCTAAACCCAACCCATTTTGGGTACGCATTTTTGACCCACAGCCTTTTGTCCATGAGAGGTCTGATGCCTATCGGAGCCTCCGACGTGTTTGGGCCCCTTCAACTTTTTTGCAACCCGACTGAGGGACATGTGGCGCCTCTGAGGGACTTTCTACCCCCAAACCTTTGAAAAGGAGGGGCTCAAATAAGGTGTGGGGAGTCAACCAACTTATTTATTTTTGGGGTACCCCTTTTCAGCATGGTTTTCACAACGGAACACCAAAACTGAACACCAAGCCACCATTTTTTGGGGTCTCCCAAAAGCACGGGAGGCGCGTCCCTGTGCCTCTGTCCGTCAATCGATAGGCGGACATCGAGCTGGCCATCCCGAAGGGGGGGCAGCAGAAGGGCTTCCGCCAGGGAGCCGAACGAAAGCTCCGAACATATTTTTGTGTGTCTTTTTGGTGGGTGCCCTTTTTGTTGTTGTTTTAATGGAAACCAAAAGGAAAAGAACAGCATTTGTGGGTGTCCCCTAAAGAAAGACATTGGGTGGTGGTCAAACATAAAATAACTCCAAACATGGGGAAAGGAACCATATTCATGAGCCCCCCATTTGCCATTTGGTAATTAACTCAGTTTGGGGAATGTTGAACCCGTATTTGTCAACCCCAGTTTATGGGTTGTTCCCCAAAAGTGATGAATCCCCACTAAACCCAGGGACACACTCCTATTAATAAGCTGGGGTTGAGAAATCCGGGGTCAACGCTAGATGTCAAGGGCCTGGGTCAAAGAAAGGGGTCGAGGGGTCGACTTTGGACTCTCTCAGTTTCTCAGCTGCATTTGCTGAACTAAATATTGATTATTTCCCTTGTTGAGTTTAAAGGGAAGCTATCACTCCTGGAGAGACTGTGTTTTTCCCAGGGGGCGAAGAAGCAAATGGAAGTCAGTGAGCGACAGGATGTCCGTGGCCTTCAAAAAGGATCGCCTCGATTGACGAGAAACTGTGAATGAGAAAATATTCTGGGTGAATCATAACGACCTCACACGACCGAATTCACACCAAATGGTGGGTTTTGTGGAGAATAGTCCCCCAACCACCGCACGTTTCAGGTTGGTGAAATATTTGTACTTCACCCAGAGATAATGACCAAAAAGGATCACCAAGCGCAGTTGTGGACTTTTGGGGGGCGATGACCTTTGAATGGCTTCCTGATGGCTCTGAATCAGAAATGGGCAAGAGGGCAAAGAGGGCAGATTCTAGCCTGTCGTCTCTCCCAGCAGCCTGCCTTGTGATCAGGTTGCATGTGGGTTTCAAGTGTAACATCCCGACATTTGACCTGAAGTCCACGGTGCTGAATTGAATGCAGACAGATGTGTTTTGTTTGGATGTGTGATTGGTAGCCTTACACTTGCGGGAAGCATAGGGAGCATAGGTTTCTTCTTTTTGCCAAGATGAAGGGCACGGTGCCATCTACTTTCACTCTGTAAACGAAAGCCGTCACTTGCATGTGCTCAGTAGGGAATGACCTTCCGGGTGTTGGGAATGTTAAAGGAAACAACCAGTTGGGGTCATTCCATTTGCGTCATTTCCTGCCCATCGAACCAGCAAGACAAGGGGGCCACATCTACCGAGTTTTGTGTCATCCACAAACTCAACCTTCTGTACCCTATAGATGTTGATGGGTACGCGTCCTTTCCGTAATATGCTGTGCAAGAAAGGACACCCGTATATGAATCCCATGCATGCAAAAATCATGCCTTAGGGCCATTTTGCTCCAACTGGTTTGCATGATTTGCACTAGTCCTTTTCCTGTTGCTTTTTTGCCCGACTCTCGGCGTTCCTCCTGTGAATCCCATGCTTTTTATTGTTTCATTTGGGGGAACCCTGGTCAATGGTTGCGTTCTTTCATGGTCGGACATCTGAGGACCCATGCCCCATCAGAAGTCAGCCCATGTGTGAGACTTCAGGCGTGTGCCACGTGGCGAGTTTCTCTCAAAACGGTGGACCACCTTTTGGTATTGAACTTACCGCCTGCGTTCATGAACTTTCGTCACTTTTAGTTCGGACCATTTTAGTGGCCAACTATAAGTTTAGACTCTTTCTGGCCAATCCACTCAGGAAGCGAGTTAAAGGGAAACCGAACATTCCAGGGACCTCCCCCCCCCCACTTTGAGAAGCACATGAGTCCACATTACTCAATTGTCACTTCCATGCGCTTAAACATATGTTAATATTTTCCTCCGTTGGTTTTAAAGGGAAGCTGTTAAACTGCCGGATGTGTTTCTTGTTTCTTCTAGACTGAAGCAATTGGAAGGTTAGGTAATAGGGCCTGATGTGTTTGCCATGCGGAGGCGGGCAAACATTTGGCGCTTGATTTTCTCAATTGTTGCAGTTTCAGCCTCGGATTGAGTTGGAAGCCGCTTGACGTTGGACTTCGCCAGCTCCTTTTTTTTTCGCTTGCCATCATCTTTTCTCTTTTCCCACGCGACTTTTCGCATCAGTCTTGGCCGGAATCTGTTTCCACTTTCACTGGATTTCTGAAAAGCCAGCCGAGGCCACACCGACCCGGTGTGCCCCAGGTATCAGATGCCGTCTGCCTACCAGCCGCTCGAATATGTGGAGGGGCCGAAGGGGACCTGCGACTGGACATGGTTTTGTCTGGACTGGCAGGGAGGTCCCTTCGATCGTATTTCAGCAACCAAAAAGGGGGAGTCGCAAACTAAACCCTCTACATCCTGTGCTTACACCACTGGTCAATCGCCCGGCGCTTGCGAGCTCGTGTCTGTTGTTTTTGTGCGTCGCACACATAGCGGGGAACTAAACAAGCGGGGGAAAACACCTCAAAGACGCTCCTTGAATGGGTGGCGAGAAATCAATTGGTTGGCGTCAGGCTTGGGGTTTTCAGTGAATCGACAGGATAGGGTTCCTTGGGAATCGACCCAGTTTTGGATCCAGGCAGGCTTTTGGTGGCCGTCAGCCAGACATGTCCAGCTTCGGCCTCTTGGCCGAGAGGAACATGATGACCCATGAAGATTCCTCTCCAAGAACGTGAAGGTCCTGGGAAAAAAAGGCATTCCATTCGTGGAGCACGTTTGATGACAACCAAATGGTGCATTGACCATGGTAGCACATTTAGAAGGCATCAAATGGATTCCTTAAAGTAGAGACATTCTGTTTGGTTCCTTCTCTCGCCCCCAGCCGCAGAAAATTGGTCGGGAGCTCCGTAAGGTTGAGGTTCCATCGCATGACAACGACCAAACACATCACCAGCAAATGAAACAAAGGCCCTGAAGGCCCCTGAAAAACCCTGACAAAAATGCGGGCGGGACTTATAAATTATAAAGGGCTTATCCTGGGCTTATCCAAAAGAGAGGGGTACGCTGTGGGCCCCTGTGTTTTCCATATGAAATGGTTGTTTTTGCAGACGTGCAAGCAGGTTATTTCAAGGCAAACCAACTGACTCAACACCAATCCGCACCCCCTTCTGATCCAAAAATCCCCCCCCCTCAATAGCCCCCCCGGGAAAAGAGACAGGAGACGCCCGCAACTTGCCAGGCTGCCGCCTCCGGAGCCGAGATGGAATGGCCGGGATGCAAAGTGCGTCTGATGTCGTCGAATGGCCGGGATGGCCGGACGTTTCCAACCGCTATGATTAATGCGTTTTCTGAGTTCCGGCAAGTGACTCTCGTACCACGTTTTGGGTTTGGACCATTTTTGTGGTATATAGACAACAAGTTTGGACTTTTTATGATTAATGCACTCAGGAAATTTTTGTTCAGGGGTTGTGTTTGTTCCACACGTGAGCCGAATCCCAGGTAACAGGAAAAGGGGACACCCCCCAAATCAACCAGAGGTTTGTCTGAGAATCTGGGGTTCCCATGACCCCAGGGAGAAGTCATGTTGCTTTTTCCTGGGGCTTTTTTGCCGGCCGGGTGTCAGTATGTAACTTACCTCCGTGGAGGAGAATGGTCCCATGGGCAACTGCGTTCGGTTTGGGACAGCTTCCCGTCGAGCCGGAGCGAGCCGGCTTTCGACTTGGAAAGGCGAAATGGTTAAACAGGGCTCCTTAAAAGATACCTTTTGCCCATTTGAAACATGGCTTTTTCCGCCAAAATAAGGGGAACCCACCATGTACAAGGCAATGTTCAGGTGTATAATCTAAGGATCCCTGTTAAAGCACCAAGCATTTGGAACCCTTTGCTTTTTTGGATTCTGTTGAGCATGGCGGCCAAATCCAAAGAACAGAAGGGTTTGGAACCCTTGGCTTTTTCCCTCATGGCTTCTCTTTTTTGGGTTCTGTTGAGCATAGAGGCCAAAGCCAAATGGAGTATGCTCTACGCGGGATTCATTCCTTTCTTGCGGGGTAGCAAACAAATCCACACTCGCATTTGTAGCCCTCCTTTTTCTGGGGACCCCTTTGGGATGAATCTGCACTACCACAGGCCTGGTTGCACTTTTGGTGTCTATGGGAACTGCCCGGTTGATAGGTATTGCCAAAATTCAACCCAATTGGTCAGGCTTTGTCACTCCCCTGGCATGAACATGGAACAGCGCAGGATCCCATATTTCCGGTGTCAAATGCTTCCGGTAGCAGCTTGAATGCACCGGGTGAGGCCGGGCAAATATGGAACGTATTTGACGTTTGACGAATGATCCAGGGCTTGCATGTTGACGCCATACACTTGGCTAAAAAAGATGGACCTGATTCCAGTCAGCTTTTATTTATTTCAATTTGTCCACAGCAAGACCCATTTTTTTGTTTTAGCCACCCTCGGGTGGCAAAAGCGATGGCCAAAATCCAACGATCCAATGTGTCTGCCTTGGTCTTCCAAGCACCCGCAAAACCAGGGTCCTTCTTGATTTTGGTCTTGGCTCCGAATGGAAATTCGGCCAAAAGGCCCGCTTTTCCAGGGTCCTGGAAGATCAAGGTCCGTATTTTTCAGTGGAGGGCTTTGATTTGCCTCGAGGCCGCCACAACACCGACAACTCGGATATCGAGAAGAGCCATCCGCGGGCGCGGAGTTTTTCTGCGGGCGTTTCGTCGGAGGTCATGGTGGAAGCTGGACCCAAAGGGGTGGCTAGTCTGTTTGCAGGTTGAAACCATCCAACTGGCTTCGGGTTTTTTTTTGGTTTCCCTTTGAAACAACAAACAAAAGGGACTTACCCTTTCTCTCTTCTTTGTTGGGTTTCTTCTTTTCCTTTCTTTTCATTTAATGTTGGATAAGGAAATGTGTCTCCCAACAAAGCAAACAATGGAAAGGGATATAGGGAGGAAATGATTGTAAGGTCTGGCCTAGAGCCAGCTCTTCCTTCGTCAAGGATGTGATTAGGAATGAAAAAGAAAAGTAAAAGAAAGGGATGAAGGGGAAGGAATAGGTGGGACATGGAGGTTTCCCTTTGAAGCAACGAACAAAAGGGAGGGATGGGGGGTTCTCAAAAACGAGACACCCAAAAAGGGCCTCAAAGCGAGAGCCATGCGAATGGCAGCTTGGAACTGACATGGAAACGTATCCAATTCTGGAGCCTTCATTTAATGGGAGGGTTGTGCATACCAGGCCCAAAAGCAATCATGGGGACCAAGCCCAGCCAAAGAGGTCGGGTTCATTTCAGAGGGAGGGGCTGAACTCGCACACAGCTTCCAGGATTATGGTTATCCGAATCTCACCCATCCAATGGGAGCCGAAGGCGTGCCACTTTTCTTAGGGATCTTGTCCACTTTGGTTCGAAGGCTGAGATTTGGCCATGGAAAGCTTGCTTCGTGACTTGCCGATTCTCCCGCCAACCCTTTGAGAAGTTAGAACTGAAATTCGCTTTTCTGAGCCGTTGAGGAAACAGACTGCTTGCCTGACCTGAGTTGTTAAGCCGTTTCTTGATCCTGAACAGCTTGGGGCGGGCAGAGGACATTTCCCCTAAGCTTCCTGTCAGGCCGCTATACTGGATCCTTTCTTAGGTAGCCAGTTGGACCCCCTGAACAATGTGTTTCCCAGGGAGTCTGCTCTCAGTTTTTTGACATGACATGTGAAATGATAATGAAGCTTCTGCGTTTACCATGCTCAAATATCACCCTTTTACCGGGAGCCATCATCCCCTCAAAGATTCTGGACAACTGTTGCAGGGATTTCCTCCATGTCCTTTTTGGAACCTCCCTAAGCGGCGATCGTTTCAATGGAAACCACCAGTATGGCAACCTGAGGGGAAATCCGGTGGCCCCTGTATTGCAAGGGGAATTTCATTGAGGAAGCCACGACAAGGGCCCGCAGACCATTTGCTGATATTGGCTGCACCTAGCACTTTGCTTGGCCGAAAGGTGCTCCATCCTGAGCGGAACTACATCCGCGACCCCAACGAGGTGCTGCGAGCCTCGTGAGCGAACATCGTTTCCGGAACTAAAATATATGGGGCTTCCAGACGTGTCAAGCATTTCCCTTGGAACCAACAAGAGTGGCGCTGGTTTCAAGCTGAGCCAGTCGATTGAACAACAAGCTTTTGGGTAAATCCGGTGACCCTTTTGTTTTCTTCCCTTGAAACAAAAGGGGGACTTTCCTTTTCTCCGGGTGCCGGGTTTCCAAATTTTCCGGGGTGAGAAGAACGGCCGTGCCCAGTGCCGGGACATCGAGTTCACCGCCCCCTGCTATGCCGCGGCCTTTGACGTTTTCGTTTCGCGGAGCTCCGGAAACGGCGCGCGCCCCTTGCGGGATTTCTTGTCATTTGCCCGAAAACTGAAGTCTTCCGGGTCTATGTTCGATCCGAAGTCTGTGAATATATATATATATAGTCATTTGCCCGGAATCTGAAGTCTTCCCGATCTGTGTTTGACCCCAAAGGCACGAAAGATGCGGGTTCGAACAAGCGTGCTCATATCGTTCTCAAAATCAGAGACCGCAGCAAGCGGCCTGGATCGCTCAATGATCGGAACATGGACAGCCCCGAACTGACAAACACATCAGCTTACTTGGAGCCAAGGCACCATCTAAGTTCCTTTGATTTTTTGGGAAACAGGGTAAAGGGCAGTCTTTTCCCTCGTCACTAGCTGAGACGGAGTTTGTGGTCGAACATTTGAGTTGGACCCTAACTTTGTGGCTATGTGGTTGGACCTTTGGAAACAGGTCGAATTTTCCATGAACTTGCTGCAGAAGGGTCAGCATGCCAAGCATTATTTATTAGAGGCTGTGGGTTTGATTTTCCTATTTGGTTGGGTAGGAAAGCCAACAGCAACCCCTTCTTGTTTTTGTTCGTGGGGGGTGCCATACTATGTTAATACTATAGAAGACACAAGGGCGGCAATGATTATGATCTCACAGAGGGATATGATCACCAAGGATTGACGGCTCTCTTGGAAATTCAAGATAGGTGGGAGACTTGGTGGGTCTGATGCGCGGCTCGACCCTTTCAATGCTCTTGGGATCCACTTGATTGGGGGGGATCCTGGAAGCGAGGCTTGAAGCTGAATTTCAGCATTTCAGTCTCGGGGTGAGACTTGCCTCGACAAATCGCCTTTGTTTTGGCAATTCTGCGGGACATCTATTCTGGGTTAGCATTTGCAATTGACAGTGGCAGGAGGTTGAATGGTAGTCAAGTGGTTGGTTGGCCGGCTGGCTGGCTGGCTGCCAGTTGCTTGCTTGCTTGCCTGCCTGCCTGCCTGCCTGCCTGCCTGCCTGCCTGCCTGCCTGCCTGCCTGCCTGCCTGCCTGCTTGCCTGCCTGTCATTTTCAGGGCAAGCTTCCAAAAACAAGCAACAAATCGCAGGCAAAACATGCCCAAAATCGGAACTGTTGCATGCCAGTTTGACGAAGCGGCTGAGGGTTAAAACTTGAGGCACGCAGGCAGGCAGGCAGGCAGGCAGGCAGGCAGGCAGGCAGGCAGGCAGGCAGGCAGGCAGGCAAGCGATCAAGCCATCACAATAGATGCATGTCCAATCAACCAACCAGCTGCCAACCCGACCCAACCAACTCAACTCAACCCAACCCGACCCAAGCCGACCCAAGCCAACCCGACGAAACCAAACCCACCCAGAACCAACCAACACAGCAACACAACTCCACTTCAACCCCTCCCCAACTCCACCCCAACTCCACCTCCACCCCAACTTCACCCCACCTCCACCTCCACCCCACCTCCACCTCCACCCCAGCTCCACCTCCGCCCCACCTCCACCCCAACTCCACTCCGCCCACCTCAACTCTACTCCACCGACCAACCTAAATTAGTGGCACTTGCAGCGAGGCTGAGAAGATGAGGACGCTGAACGCCCGGTCCCGCCGGATCGCCCAGCCGGGGACGTCTCGCGTTCTCGAATTTCGACGCGGCTAAGGCCTGACATCCAAAAGTGTCAGGGTGTTTGTCTGTGTGAGGGCACCCTTCTTGGGGCTCTGTAGGCAGAACTTTACCTAGGGGCCATGTTGGGTACACTTTTTTGAGCCACAGCCATCGGTCAAACGGCAACTTGCCGATTGCGTGGAAACCCCTCAAGGCACCACGAGGAAGTGGATGACTGGTTTTGCATCTTGACACCTTTCGCGTGTTGGCGGGATATCCTTGGTTGCTCTTTGGTTTCATCAATGAAAGATCTGCTGGAATACCTCGTTGATCTATACCAATTACCATTTGGAAAAAGACTTGTCAGGGACCATGCATGACCATCCTGGATCCAAAAGAGACACCCCCAGCGTTGAATTTGGTTTGAATTTGGTTTGTTTTGCTTTCTGTCGGCGTTCCAACTGCAGCCTTCTTTAGTTCTTTCTTTTTTCTGTCTTTCTTTCGCCCGAGGTCCGGACATGTCGCTGAACGTGAAGGAGACGAGTCGGCGAGTCTTGAGCTGCCGACTGCGAGTTTTCCACGGCCCCACTTCCAGTTCAGATTCTGATTGGGGACCACTTTGCCAAAAAAAACAACATGCTGTGGTTGTTGTTCTTGTTTTTTGGATTGTTGGTTCATTATTTCATTATTTCCTTCCTTCCTTCGTTCCTTAATTCCTTCGTTCGTTAATTCGTTGCTGGTTGGGTGGGTGAGCCTGCGTGCTTGCCTGCCTGCCTGCCCGGCGGGTTGGCTGGCTGGCTGGCTGGCTGGCTGGCTGGCTGGCTGGCTGGCTGGCTGGCTGGCTGGCTGGCTGGCTGGCTGGCTGGCTGGCTGGCTGGCTGGCTGGCTGGCTGCTTGTTGCTGTTTTTGTTGCAGCTGCTATTGCTATGTTCGTCGTCGCCGCCGCCGCCGTCGTCGTCGTCGTCGTCGCACTACTTGTTTTTTCTTTTTCGCAGCCGCCGCTCGTTCTTGAGATGATGGTGTTGGACCCATTGGACCCCGAGTTTCGCGCATTTGCCTTCAGAGACCCCCGCGGATACGAGGACATCACGGGAGAGAAGCCGGTGCGGCCGCGGTGGACCAACCCCCTGGACCCCACCTACAAGGCGAGGATCTCCCATTTCAGTTGCCGCTATAGTAAAGTTGTCACCAGCGGAAAGAGTAACACCTTTTTCCAGCTCTGGCACGTTTTTGCCAGCTGCCGGGTGGCCTTTGTTCCTGTGTGTTTGGTGTCTGTGTGTGCTTTTCCTTGACAAGTCAGCCATCAACAGCCACTGCGCAATCAAGCTTTCAGATGGCACAAGGGCAATCTGCGTTGGAAGGGATCCGATGCCACAAAGGAGGCTTATGTCTTGGACCATGCAAAACATTCAACCCCCCCCCCATTTGGATTGCCCAGTGCCAAACGCGACATACTGTGGGTGGACGAAATCCTGCACCACTTTAGGGAGGGGGAGTCTGGGACTCCAAAGAAGCAAGAATCAACAAAATAAAAGCGAAAAAGAGAAGGAAAACTTACAAACAAACAAACGCACTGTTAAAGTGTAAGAAGTCAAATGTTCAAACTTCTGGATTTTTTTTGGTCAGTTGCGCTCAAAAAAGTTTTTTGTCACACAAAAAAATGCAGATTTTGGAAACCATAGCACACCATAGTTTGTGGGTATTTCCAGGGGAAGCATCAAGGTCTTGTAGGTGGTGCAGGATTTCGTCCATCCACAGTAGCACACCCCCCTCATGTTTGGGTTTTGTTTCAAGCTCCTTGTTTGGGGGTCTTAAAAGTTTGGATTCCGCGGGTTCCTGGGAAGGGTGTGCCATCTCCGGGTGAGCGGAAGTTGGGCCAATGGCCGGGTTTCCGAACGCTAGGTGCCCACCAGCGGGACGACCTCGCTGCACGCCAAGTACGCCGAGGCACCAAGCCAGATGGCTACTCCGGGGTCGGACCCCGAGCAACCCGGTTTTATGGGATTGGTTTTTTTCTCCGTAGAGGCAGCAACAACTCACTCGTCGCAGCGGAGTGTTTGAAGTCTGCAAGTTTCTTCGGTAGGTAGCTCCGCGCAAGGGCAGTTGTACACAACCCATGGCAAGTGCGAAAACTAGCCCAGTTGCTGTGGGTTCCACGATTTTTTCTGTGAAGGGCTTGCTTCCGAAAGCGCCACCACCCTGTTTGGCAGGGACAACCGCCTGTTGCCCGTGGAATGACAAGGTGAGCAGCTAGTTTTCGTCACGGGATGGACTTTTTTCTGCTGGCGCCGCAAAGTGGGTAGGGCCTTTTACCTCGTGTTGCAAGCTCTCCTCGCCTGACGTGAGGGGGTTCTTGTTTTGTTTGGAGTCCCTTAAGACGGTACATCGTGGCAGGATTCACAAGGCAAACCGTCCTGGATTCCGGCGTTGCATTTGTTTGGCTTCCATTGGTGGCCAACGTGGGCTGACATCTGTGAATTCTGCATGACTGCTTGGGCTTCCACGATACAGTGTCCATGCCACAGTCATTTGACTTGCTCAAGGCCAACCCTTTGACCTTTTGGTTTTCCATGTTCGGTCATTTTTAGTAAAGGTGCCAGAAGGTTCGTCAGTGATTTCCAGGTCCTTTGGGCAAGTGCGTCATGCGAGTTAGCTTCAATGTGTTACTTTTTGTAGGAGTCATTCAAACCACGTGTTGTGTGTTGATTCTTTTTCTCTCAAAAAAGCGATACGGGACGCCAGACAATTTTGATACCCGAACACCTGAAAAAAATAACATAAAAAAAAAAAAAAACAACAGCAGCTGAACAACCTGAATGAATACACCCCAGACAAGTAATTTTGACACTGGCTGCGTGCCATTGTCAAAATACTGTTTTATTTGAGGTAAACCTGGATGGTTATTCCTTCTAGTAGGTTCATTCATAGCCATTATGATGATTCTTATTAAGAGAGCCATGACCATGGGCCATACAAGAACTTTTGACCAATGAATATTCGATCAGGAAAGGTACACAACCATTGCAAAGGTTCCCACCGAGAGCGTTACTAAGAGCCACACAAGGATATTTCACCATCGCTTATATGACATGTATACATATATATATATATATTATATATATATATATATAAGCGTGGGTTGTTCATTGGCTTTAGCAAAGTTTTGGTGCTATTCTCTGAAACCACCTTCCCCCTTCCAGTCACAAACCACCCGGGACAGTTATTGCATGAGAGTTTGGGAAGTTTCCTTCTGCCACCGGAGCTGTTCAAGTAACCCAGGAATGCTAGGCCTAGATTCCTAGTCGATCGGGAAATTGACCCTTGAACCAAAGCTAGTTTCCACTACCCCCCAAACCACTAGCCCCAAGGGTTTTATGGGGTGTACTGCCACTGTGTAGTTACTGTAGCATGTAAAGGGTGTAAACCCCTTGGAAACCTTGGGTAGTGGTTCGGGGGTAGAAACTGTCTTAGAAAGAAGGGTTCAATGCAAGTGCTTCGTACCTAGTCAGTTGATACGCCCAAAAGCACGGCTCGGCCAGGAGCGGGGCCTCAACGTGATACTCCCGAACGTAGAGGCTCGAGAGTCGCGTCAGAAGGTGTTTGACACCGTGAGGTTGTTTTACCAATCGAGGTTTCTACGTTACACTTCTCAGGACTTGGTGGCTCCGAGCCATCCCTTTAGCTTTTTAGCTTTTTAGTGTTGAGTGGTAGTTTCCATTAGCCCACAAGTCAAGCTTTTAACGGGGTATCAGAAAACGGGCAGCCCAGAGGAGGTCCTGATATATTCAACGAAGGGGTGCGAACAGGCAGCCAGCTGGATGGCTTGAGTCAGAGAGTTTCATTTGCCCAATTGGTTTCATCGCCGGTGCAGGTGGTTAAGCACATGAAAGTTACAAAAAAGATCGGCGCAAAAGAAAGTCAAATGCATTGCCCAGAAGGCGTGTGCTTCCATGCTGGGCATGGCGGGGACTTTCCTTTGCGGCCTGCTGTTGCTGAGATGTTTGATGGTCTTGGAACAGCTTTGAAATGCGAAAGGCATAAACACCTTGTCTAGGTCCCCCAGCAGGTGCCCTTTTACCCTTTTTTGGGGGAGGGTTCCCCGGCTAGAATAGACTACAGAAAAAAGGGTACCCTTATTCTAACCTCGACCTAGTTATGTAAAAATGATGTGAGCGAAAGGGCCCATCAAATTTGGATCTTCAGCCAGCGCTAGAAGCGTTGTTCCAGGTGCTTGGCCCAGACGCGTCAGACATGCACTGATTGCCTGACGAGGTCGTCTCTTCTTGGGTAGGGGCTTGTGCTGCTCGGAAAGATGTGGGTTTGTCTAGGAGGGCAACCCCAAAATTGGCTTGGCGTTCAACCCTTCGCGGGGGGGGAGTCAAAAATAAGACGCACCCATTTGGTGGTCACTTGAACAAGTCAGTGACACTCTAAGGGTTGGTAACCCCAAAATGGCTTGGCTCAAAGCTTCATTTGCTGAAATGAACATCTTGTTATTTTCCCTTTTTGGCTTTAAAATTAATCTATCACTACTGGACATGTTTTCGTATTTTTTTCCAGGGGAGCCTGGAACGCAAATGCAGTTCTGGATTTCTTCCTCTGGGCGTGTCTCGATCACTTGACGGGTCTGAAGTCGGCGTCGCCAGGTGAAGGAGGTGGGCTTTGCCCATGGCCTCAAGGGGGCGGGGCAAGTCGAGATGGGTATGGGTCAAAATTAAACCAGGAAATGGACCGCAGGTTTTAGTCCTTGGTTCCATTTACCAGGGCAAGCCGTTTTGGGCACCTATTTTGACCCACTGCCAGATAGCGCTCGCGAAGCAAGCTTGGTGAAACAAACCCGGCGAAGAAATTAGCGCCCAGAGATTGCCCGGTATCTTCCTTTTGGGAGGAACACCAAAATGAAGAAAGTTCTGAACAGCATTCTCAATGTTTGGGCGGGCGGGGGGGGGGGTGGGCGGAGCTTGGGTGTTGTTCGTGGTTTCGGTGAAGGCTGGTTCCTTCCCCAGCAAGCTCTAGGTTGCGATCAGCTCTAGGTTGGGTTCCGAACAGCCCAGCTGAGGGTCGAGGGATGCATGCTGGATGGTGTTCCGGAGGGTTCCGGGGTACCGTTCACCCCGGATGCACAAGCCGGTCCTATTAATCGGGGGATGTTCCCCCCATTTCTCAAAATCAACCAGGGCTTCTACTTAGATCTGGGGTCAACATCAGAGGTTTCATGGAAGTGGCTGCGTAGGTCCCAGTGAGGAGCTCAGATATCTGGCCTTGTGTCGGGTCGCCTTCGGGACCCTTACAAAGCGAATCGACTGGGTCTGACTGAAGGAAGCCATATTTCAGGCGTTTAGGTGGCTTCAATCATCACCTTTTTGGCCCATGGAAGGTGAATATCCCTTGGTGGGGGTGATGTTTTAAGGGGAAATCTAGGGAGCCCAGTATTTTATCATAGAGAAACCAAAGGTCAGTTAAGACCAAGCTAGCTCGAGAACAACAATTGTAGGTAGAAACGTGTATGTTCTGACTAACTTTGTTCTGACTAACTTTGTTCAAACACACAATGCGTATAATATATTAAAACGTATACCTGTATATACATATATATATATATAAGTGTAATACGTGTAATACATGTACATACATATTATCAATGCAATGCGTTGTATCCGCTGCCTACCTAAACAATGTTGGTCTTGGGTGTGGCAGGAGGTCCTACTCAGCGGGCCCGAGTTGCTAGACTCTCTGGGGGTACACTTTGGTCATGTCCCAGGACCCCCCAAAGGTTGTTAAATGGTCTGTGGAATGACCTCCCAATGGCTGTTTTGGGGTTATTTGCCAGCCATTGGGGGCTCTAAATCGTTTTTTTGCAAAAAGTCAACATACCTTTTGAGCACCCCACCTCCCACGACGATTTTTTGTTTTTAATGTGGGGTCCGGGGTATGCTCAATAGGTACGTTGAAACAAAAAGAGGGTTCCCATGCTGAAACCGGACTTGTCCCATTTCAGGGTTGCGGGGGCGCCTAGTAAAGGATAGGAAGCCACAGCTTTTGCCAATCCACTGAGGAAATGAGCCGAGTTGCTTTCTCGAATTCCACCGGTTGGCAAACCTAATCCACAACTGGGAGAGTACCTTTTTCCAAGCAGCCATTTCAACATGGTTGAGTCACAGTGTGATGCCTCACTTGCCCAAACGGCAACCGTTCGACCTTTGTTTTTCCCTTTGTCCACTTGTAGTCATGGCCCCACAACGTGATCACTTTTGTTTCTGGGTCCCTAAGGGCAACTGGTGTGCTATTACTTAGGGGTCTTCTATCTAAAAAACCACCCAAAGCCCTGGGGAAATAGCAGGTGTTTGAAAAGAACGATGGTTGAAAATAATGGACAAGGAATCAACCCCTAGAATTACGAGGATATCCTGCCAGGCTTCCTTGTGCGAGCATGTTCGGGCTGCCTAAGCCACCTGCCTTGGTTCACTCGCGGGTCGGGCAAGTGTTCTCGTTGAACTCTTGAAGGCTCCGGAACCGGAAAGCACCCCTTTACCAACTCGATTCCAGCTTTTCACATTGGCCTGAACCCTCCAAATTCCCCCCCCCCCAAAAAAAAAAAAGTGGGTTATACTGGTACCCCCCCCCCCTCCCAAAAAAAAAAACACATGGTGGGTGAGTTTCCCCATTTTGATTGGGTAGGTCCAGGGGTCCAGGTCGCTGTTGTCTGAAACGAGCTTTAAGGTGGAAGGCTCCAAGTCCAAGCAGCTGCACTGGGACAACGGGGAGCCCCAGCTGAGCCTGCTGCGCGAGGAATCTTTGGGACTTTCGACTGGGACCTCAGTTTCGCGAGGGACCTCACTTGCCCAGAAGTGTGTCAACCAAAGGGTCCGACTTAAAAATTCGCGGCCATTGTTGAACTTGGTGGTTCCCAACCATCCGGTTCCTTGGCTTCTTAGCTTTTTAGTTGCTTTAATTAGTGAGGGGGTTCCGAATTTAATCCACTAAAAGTTAAACACTTTTTAGCCGGAGATCTGAGGACAGCCCAAAAAGGGAATCGACTAACCCCGTGTTTTTGTCGCTTAGGGTATTTGTTGCTGTTCAAATGGAATCACCAGGAGTTGCCTTTTTCTGGCTCATCACCCGTTCCGGGGTGGTTTTCAAGGAAAAACCATCAGTACAGAGGTCCCAAGTGTTAGGTGAAGTTGGTACACTTTTGGGGATGAAAGTAAGCCGCCGGCCATTTCGGGGATTTCACATCCCAGATGCCAAATGTAGCGGGGGCAACGAGGGACCAAGCGACAGGGCGGTTACACAGTCAGTCCAAAAGTACATCCAGCTTTCTTCATTGCTGGCTTCTCAGGCAGTCAATCCAGTCAATCCAGTCAATCCATCGGAGGGCACGTGGAGCTGTTCAACGGAGCTCGCCGACGCGGGCGCGTTTTTGGCACGCGTTGCAAATGCCGGTGAAGAAGTGGAAGTGCAGAGAGAAGGGCGCCGCAAATTGCCCTTTCTGCAAGCTCTCCCACCACGTCCAGACCAGAGGCCGCCCCTGTCCCCGTGAACATTTAAAGTCCGTTTGTCGGCACCAAGCCCTAAAAGTCACTTTGCATAGAGACGTCTGGTCCTTTGAACACTGGGTGCCTACTCTGCCCCTTGTCAAGCACGCGAGGAAGTGGCTTCCTGCAAATGAATATCGGGTGCATCCAGCGATATTCGTGTGATCTCGCTCACTCCCGAGTTCCGTTTCGGACTTTAGCCACTTTTTGGGTCTGGACCATTTTAGTCCACTCCATGGGAAGTGAGAAGGTGCTTGCATGGGAAACCATGGGGCCGCACCAGAAGTGACAGCGGTTCCAAGAGAAACGTCCCTTCGGAACCCGCCATTCCTTGGTTCGAGCTTTGTGGTGGCAACATCATGAAAATGTGAGGAGGGATGTTTGGGAAATAAGGTGGTTGTCCATTTTGAGGCAAACGTGGTTGCAGGGAACCGGGCTTTTCCACCTTCTTTCATACCAAGAGAACATCTTTGAAGCGACGCGGTAGAATCTGTGGCCCACCAAAGGGTATCAACCAACCAGCCGACCAGCCAACTGGCCAACCAACCAGCCTTCCAGCCAACCACCCACCCAACAACCAACCCAACCAACCAACCCACCATCTATCCATCCATCCATCCATCCATCCATCCATCCATCCATCCATGCATCCATCCATACATACATCAATCAAGCCAATCAACCATGCAATCAATCAATCAATCAATCAATCAATCAATCAATCAATCAATCAATCAATCAATCAATCAATCAATCAATCAATCAAACAAACAAACAATCAATCAATCAATCAATCAATCAATCAATCAATCAATCAATCAATCAATCAATCAATCAATCAATCAATCAATCAATCAATCAATCAATCAATCAATCAATCAATCAATCAATCAATACTCAATCAAATTCAGCAATCATCCATTCAACCAATCAAATTAAAACAATTCAACCACCCAAGCCATCCAACCCACCCACCCCGCTGAAGCCACCCGGCCCCTCGCGTTTGACATCGCGAGGACATCGCCGGCAGCTTGCCACAGCGCTGGGCCCGGGGCCCCAGGGGCGCAGGGAGCCGGCGCCGCACGTTTGTTTCTTGGTGCAGCAAACAATCACCGAACTGGGGAATATGAAGCCATGACCCTTATAAAATGGGGGTCCTTACCCAAAATAATGGACGACCGGGGATATGAAGCCGTAGAAATGTACTACATGGATTTTCCATGACCCTTATAAAATGGGGTCATTACCCAAAATAATGGACGAACTGGGGATATTGCGGATGGACGAAATCCATTTCGCGCCACCTGAGAAACCCTCGATTGATGATTCCCCTGTAAATGCCAAAACAAGCACTGGTTTCCCATGGGTTTATGGTGCAGGATTCCGTCCATCCACAATATGAAGCCGTAGAAATGTACTATAAATGTATACGCACTCTAGGTGTGGATCATGGGGGTGACCATATAACCATGGGTCAAAATCCCGTACCCCCTGTGAACATCCCAATCCCCACCAAAATAGACGAAAAATGGGTGAGTGCACCTACCCCAAAATGGTACCATTGGTCTTGACCCACAGCCATATATATATATATATAAATATATATATATATACATATATACATATACACGTATGGGTGTCTTGATTTGTTTAGGCACTCCCGAAAAATATATATATATATATACATATATATATACACCTGTGTGTGGTGGTGTTCCTTTTGGTATGATTTCAAAACCGCAAAAACGGTACTGCCGCCCCCTCCCCTTCCCAAAACACACACATCAACAAATAAACAAAACACACACCCAAATATACATATGTATAATGCGATTGATGCACATGGTTGGCAGCAAACAAGTGCCATTTCCCGAACTCAATGTTTGAGCCAAGTGTCAAATTGAGGGTTCACAGACTCATCGCGTCGTCTTTGGTCGATCGAATCGCCCCCTAGATCCTTTGGACGCCATCGCTTAGATGCTTTGCGGTTTGCTGTGTGTTCAACCAAGAAGGGGGTCAATGCGCAAACCCTGGCCCAGCAGTCCAGGGTCTTGCAGCCTGTTGTGATGCTTTCTGGAGAGTTTTGCGTGGCAAATGGAATTATGAGCAGGTGTTGACCCGCCACAGCATTCACTTGGGAGTCGCAAAACCACGGGAGATCTCAAGAAGGAGTCAGCTGCATGCCGCATGTTTTGTGCTGGAGCCCTGCGCTCAAACCGATACATGCACTCTTCTCTCTTTTTAGAGAAGGTGGGTCTTGTGCAGATTTGGGTATGGGTCAAAATGAAACCACCTGCCAGTTTTAGTCCATATTTCCATTACCCGGGCAAGCCATGTTGGGGCTATCCTGTTTTTGACAACCACACCCATTTCGGAACCGAAGATTGCGAAATCATTGCCTGTCCCAGGTGGGATCGGTACCGGCCAACATCTATGACCCTCCGGAGACGAGGCGCGACCCGCGACGCGAGTCCAACATGGATCCGATGCGAAATCCTGTCCATGATCGTGGGAAAGGGGTTTAGATCTCTCCCATTGGTTTGTTCAAATCTTCCTGTGCAAAAGTTGTGCGTTGTGTCGCGCCTGGATGATTGAGTCTGACTTAACACCGGATAGTTCCATCACCAAACAGGCCACATTCACTAGTCATCAGCCAGGTGTGTATAAATTTGAGGCAGATATGATATTTGGAGACAAGGAACACTTTTGGACCCCTTAGTTGGTAGACAGGGTCCCAGATGCAGTGGTCTTCCCAGGCAAAGCGAACATGTCCTTCTGTCGGTCAGTTTTGCCCCTGTCGCAGCGCGGGAAAGCCGCGGCGACGCGGACGCCATCTCTGAGGGTTAA